TGCGCCGGCCCGGCGGCCACGGTCTGCAGGGGCTGGATGTTCCTCACGGCCCCGGAGTACTTGTACTGCGGAGCGCCCCGCGCCAGCGTGGGCGACGAGGGCACCCGGGCGCTCACCGTCTGCGTCCCGATGTTGGCTGCAACGAGGACAGGAGCACTCGTAAGTGGGGGGTCGGCGGGACACACGTCTGCAGCCAGGCAATGCCCAAGTGACCAGGGAAAGCCCCGTGCCCCCCTCTGCCAGCAGGGACCCTGGCAGGAGGAAACCCTCTCTGGTGCCCACCCTGCCTGCAATGCAGCATAAGGCTCAAAGCCAAGGAGAGAAGCTGGGCTAAAATTGCACAGAATTGGGAGAGCTGTTAGTAACGCAGCCCTACCAGCTGGTCCCACCTGCGGGGGACCTCAGGCTTTACCTGCTCACCACATGCATGGCCTCCAGCCCACAGTATCTGTGCCCCTGCTCAAACCTGGCCTGCAGGGGAGATGGGAACAGCAGCGACCTCCTTGCACATGTCTGGGCCTCCACGGCTCAACAAGCCCCCTCATCACTCAGGCTAACACAAGTGGAAGAAAAGGAAAGGGATGGACAAGGGATTGAAGTTCTTCCACGGGCCTCAGGGTGAGGGATGTCAGCAGGGTCTGTTTTTTTTTCAGTCCATAGCCCCAGACACCTCTACCATGAGCATGTTTTAGCAGGGCCTCACAAGCTCAGCACATAAGAGCCTTTGCTTTAGTTCATGAGGTCTTTTCACTGTTTGCCTCTCAGCCTTAGCCCAAGCACCGTCTATGCCGCCATGGCTACTCCGTCATCGTTAATTAACGCACATAAGGAGCAGCATCAAACGAGGCCAGTCTACTCATCAGAGACCCGTTTGATTACCAGACTACAACCCTCCCCCAAATTTACTACAGACACTGCTCCAGCCCCCTGGCATGTGGACTCCTCCACAAACAGCTACACAAGCCCATCCACCTTTGGAGGCAGACACAAGCTTGCAGCAACCCCCTTGCCAACATGCATCTGCTAGAGCCAAGCCCGAGCCACGTCCTTCCACTCACCCACTCGCTGGGCCTGGGGGGGCACGCGTGGCACCTGCGTGGACGCCTGTCTCATGGTGCTGATGTTGGAGAACAGGCGCCGAGGCGGCGCGGCAGCCCTCAGGAGCGGGGTAGCTGCAGGATACGCCGCTGTGGAGATGGAGCGCAGTTAACGGAGCGCCCCGCGACACAGGCACCCAAAGAAACGTGCTGGGAAGCGCCTCTTGGGTGGAGGAAAACAAGGGATGGCCTCATCTCTGGTGAACCCGAACTGCTCTTCCTCCCCGTGCCCGTCACCAGTGACCATGCTGCAAGATGTGTGACGATTCTCCAGACTTCCCACACCTGCATGTTTTGTGCTGGTCACCTCAATCCCTGAGCTAGCTGAGCACCAGAGAACCAGAGAGAAACCAGGGTGGAGCAGCTCTGCTCCGCACACCCAGGGAGAGCGGACTCACAGGGCGGCCTGGAGGGCTGCGCACTCCAGCGAGTGGCAGGGCGGACTGGGACAACCGGGCTGGGGCTGTAGAAAGTAGCTCTGGTTTGTGGCTACAAAAGGAGAACACGTTATCCAAGGTGACTTGTGAGCAGAAGCACATCAGGGCCAATGAGGAGTGTCCCTGCAGGCGAGCTGGGAGCACACTCCAGCGCAGGGCTAAGATCCACCTCCCGTCCTGCTGCCCGGACTCACTCCTTCCACCGAGTCCACTTATCTCCTCCCCATGGGTTTCTGCACCTCTATAACCCTCCTCCTCGCTGAGGCTTCATCTCGGCCTCTTCCCTGCCCTTCCACACACCTCTGCCACTTGGGAACAGAAGCAGGGACTCACCTGAGGGATGGGGGGTAGGAAGTAGCCTGCTGGGGGTTGGAAAGAGCCAAGCAGAGGGCCGGGAAGGGCCCTCATGGTGGCTAGTCTCTGCATGTACTGGTTGGTAAGAATTGCTTTCCGCTCTTCTTTTCTTTGGGCCAGTGCAACGTAGAGAGGCTTGGTGCTGACGATCCGCCCATTCATCTCTGTCACGGCCTTGGTAGCCTCTTCTGGGGAGGAAAAACATACAAACCCAAACCCTTTGCTGTGTCCACCCTCTGTCATCACCTAAAATTGGATTAGAACAACACAGCTAAGTGCACAGATCACCACACGCCACCCGCGAGTCACCGAGCGGTCAGGGGGACGCGCAGCACGAGAGGGCACCAGGCTCCCCCGTGCCAGGCTGGCAGCAGAATGGCCAAGCCAGGACACAAGTGACAGGTACCCGATTGCATCTGCTGTGACCCAGAGGGGACGGCTCGATGTGGGGCTGTGCTGGAGCTTGCTCCTAGCCTGGCTGCATGAGGCAGGCAGGGGCTCCCGTTTGTACAGAGCTGTCACCTTGCTCCCAAACCACACAAGAAGGTGTGCAACAATCAGATAAGGCAGCTTTGAGACTCCATATCTTGCAGCTCATCAGGGCTGGGATAATTTACAGAGCTTTTGTTGGGTACAAGCAACACATGATCCTTTGTTCTAGGCTTTGGGGTACAAACAAGAGAGAAGCTTCTCTTGGGGTACAAGTGGGGGATTATAACTGAGCAGGATGATAACCGTGATCCCTTTTAAAGGGCAGTGTGAAGGGGGTTCCCTAGGTGTTGTGCTTAGCCCAGGATCTCGTGTGACAGTGCAGGTCTCACCTTTGCACTAGTGATGGTGCCATAGGGGGAGAACTCCTTCCTCAGCCTCTCATCATCTATGCCATCATCCAGGTTCTTCACATACAAGTTGACCCCCTGCAAAGAGGCAGAAAAGCAGATTAGCTTCCCCAGAAAAGTACAACAAGCTCCTAGAGTCTACAGTCGCTTTTGAAGTTGATGTATCAGCAGCTTAGCCTGCAGCTGGAACAACCTACAAGATCCCTCTCCAGAGCTGCAGGGAATCACTGACTAGTGGAAAAGGAGCCAGGACTGCACACGTGCTTCACTACCAGGCAGGCTCAGCCTGCTGCAATAAAACTGCTCCAGGACCTCAGGAAGCCTCCTAATCTCTGGAGCAACATTTTAAATTTCTAGAAAAAAAATAAAAAAAGATCCACTTGTTTGCCAGCCAGTATCATCTGGGTTTAGAGGTCTTTATCCAATACTGCTTCCATATAGATTGACTAGTCTTATTATATAAATGCCCCAGTGCACAGCTCTGCTCAGGACAGCCCCGAGCCGGCCTGAAGCTGCACTTTTCACCATGGCCGAGCAGAAGCGCTGCGGGACGGAGCGGCTCTGCCCCCCGGCCCTCACCTGGTACCTGCTCACTCGCTCCTGCTTCATCTGCTCAAACTTGCGCTTCAGCTCGCTCTGGCGCTCCAGCCGCTTCTGGGCCCGGCCCACGTACACCAGGCGCCCGTTGATCTCCTTGCCATTCATGTCGGCCACGGCCTGCGAGCAGGGCAGGAGCTCTGAGCGCTGCGGGCTCTGGCCAGCCCGGCAACCTCACCCATAACCCACACAGGAAAGAAGCCAGAGGACTTTCCACCCTAGGACACCGGTGGGCAGTGGCATCTAAGCAGGTGACAGGCTTGGGGATGCTCTGCCAGGACAGCGCAGTCGGGCATGGGAGCTGCCGACCCATAGCGAGGGGCCTCTTGCCTTCTGGGCTTCCTCGTGCTTCTCAAAGTTGACAAATCCAAAGCCCTTGGAGCGGCCAGCGTTGTCCATCATGACTTTGACGCTGAGCGTCTTCCCTGCAACACCAAGGAAGGCATCAGTCTGGAGGAGTGTACCCAGAGAGGGGACGCGCTGAGCCTGCACGGGTGCAAAGCTCCAGAAAGAACCAGAGTCACCTGAGGAAGGACAACAGCTGCTGCTTAGAAGCCCTCTTGCAGGAGACACTGAAATGAAAGGCCTGTGCTCCTTCTTTAAGGTTATAAACCTCATATTGACTACGTTTTGGCATTTCCATTTCTGTGGCTAATATGCCAGCCCACATGCATGTCCTTGATGTGTGAACACATGAACACAACCTGCAAGTGCCTCAGGTGAACCCAGTGCAGCTGAGCCGATACCAGAGCAAGTGAAGTCTGTACACTGGCACATTGCTAAGCCCTGTCCTAAGAGGCATTCACCACCAGAAGTCCAAACTGAAAAAGCAACTTTTGCTTTGAATTCAGGCTTGGCAACTTTCCATCCTAGGGCTCCTATAACCAGACCGCAGCTGGGTTTCAGCAAAGGTTCAAGCAGCTTTTCTTATCCATGAGGTAGGAGCTTGCTTAGGGATGGCACCCAACACCAGCTATCCCCCACCATGACATGAAAGGGCACGTAGTGTCCTGACGGTTTAAGTCTCTGCAGTGCTTTGGCTACATGGCTTTTAAGCACACCAGGACACACAGCTGAGACAGGGGGCACTGCATTGAATCTACCCCTCTCCTTCGTCTGTCTTTGTGGTTGCCCCAGCTCCAGCTTTCCAGGCAGCAGGGTGTTTTGCTCCACCAAGGTAACTTACCAAACTTGGAGAATATTTCCCGCAGTCTGTCATCATCCATGTCATCCCCGAAGTTTTTGATGTAGACATTGGTGAATTCCATTGCCTTAGCCCCAATCTCTGCCTCACGCTCCTTGCGGGATTTAAAGTGGCCAACAAATCTGCAGCAAGCAAACACAGGAAAACAAAACCCTCCCCAGCCTCTGAAGGAGGACAGTGACAGGGCATCCATCTCAGTACAGGCCAGTCCCTTTGGTAGCCCCTTGCATTTGCAGATGGGGAGACTAACTGAAGCATCCCACAAAAATCAAGGCTTAAGTAATGCAAGCAGAGGGCTGAAGAAAGTCAGATGCTCTCCCTTCCCCGGATTATCTGACCCCGATAGTGCTGCTGCTTCAGCCCAACTTGGATTCCTTCCTCCCAGCCAGGATGGGCTCCAAACCTCTCTTGCACCCACAGCGACATTAGCCGTGAATGACTCGGTGTGCTGGAGAGCACAGGAGCCAAAGGAAGAGCATGAAAGGGACAGGGAAGCGGGGAGACGCAGAAAGACACAGGGCAAGCAGCAACCTTCACAAAAGGTGTTTGCCCCCGAGCTCCTCCCAAGCGACTAGACCCAGTGAGGAGATCAGCGCCAAGGGCAGCCGCATGGTCGCGCTCCCCGTCCCGCACTTACACCTTGCGGTCATTGAGCAGCATCCCGTTCATGGTATCGATGGCTCGAGTCGCTGCCTCACGCGTCTCAAAGTGAACAAAGCCATAACCGCGGGACCCGTTTTCATCACACACCACCTAAAAAGCAGAGCAAGGAGAGTGACAGGAAGATGGACACACACACACACACGGCCTTCCCCTACCTTGGGCACAGAAATTTTTGGTTTCTCTTCAAGAAAATAGGGGGAATTTAAAGAAGGGAAACCAGAACACATTAATTTGAACTGGCTAGAAGACGCTGCCCAGAATATTCAGGATTTTCCCATAGGGATACCTGGGTTCTGCGGCACGCGCCCCATACCCACCTTGCAAGACAGGATATTGCCGAAGGCAGAGAACGTGTCGTACAGGGCTTTGTTATCAATGGAGTCATCCAGGTTCTTGATGAAGACGTTTCCAACCCCCGACTTCCTGAGCCCGGGGTCTCGCTGGGACCACATGATTCGGATGGGCCGGCCTTTGATCACCTCGAAGTTCATGGTGTCCAGGGCTCGCTCGGCTGCCAGAAAGACACACACAGATGATAGCAAAAAAGAGTAAACACAAGTGGGAGGGGAGCACAGCACGGACACCTCCCTGCCCATGGCTCATAGCTGCCGAGATGGACACGCAGTTCCGGGATGCTGCCGGGCAGAAGTTTAAGTGAACCCAGCAACGCGATGGGACAAACCCAGCACTGCCCATTGCGGAAATGCCAGCTGTGATACCGGGGTGGGTCTGCTCTCCTCACCCCCAGCCCCAGCCTCTTTTTCCTTCTCATCTTTCTGGATGACAGTGCTGCAGGCACGTGAGGCTGCTGCGGGCCCCTTCATTGCACTGCAGTGTCAGACTGTGCCAGGGACAGAGGTTGGTCCCAGGGCAGCGGGCTCAGACCCTCCCTCGCTGCTGCCTGGTCTACCCTACAGCAGCTTCCAGGTTTGCGCCGTCGTTTTGGCATCACTGCAGTTAAGTGCAAGAACAGTCCCTGCCCCCAGCGTTGAAAAGAGTGGCCTCACCAACACCCACAGGAGTCGTGAGCTCCGTTTGCCACCGCGGCATCGCCCCAAGTCCCCGTGGGGAGACGCGGCCTGCGCTGCTCACCGTCCGCGGGCTGCTGGAAGTTTATGTAGGCATAGCCCAGCGAGCGGCGCGTCGCAACGTCCCGACACACCCGGATGGACATGATGGGCCCGGCGGGCGAGAACTTCTCGTAGAGCATGGCCTCGGTCACGTCCGGGTGCAGGTCTCCCACGTAGAGAGAGGCCAGCGGGTATCCGGGACCGCTGGCGTTCATGGTGGCCTGCAGAGCTTATCTGGGAGGGAACACGGGTCCGCTCACTGGGCGGCAGCGCACGGCGCATAGGCTGCTAGAGCTGATCCCTGCCTGCTGCAAGCCAGAGCTGGTCCTGCTACAGCAACGGGAATGCTGATCTCCCACAAAAGTCAGGACCAGGAACGTCCCAGGGACTCTACAGGTCAAATTTTCTAGGGACATTTCAATAGCAGTGCAAAAGCCCAGCCATAGGGACGTGCACAAGACACAAAGCCCCTACATCCAGGGGAACAACGTGTGCTCTGCACACACAGCTCCTTCCTTTCAACACCCAAGCACTGAGCCAGACAGAGAAATAAAGGGAGTTCCAATCCTTCGGAAGCAAAGGGCCCTTCCCCTGCTGGGGAACCCGTTTTCCTCAGGGCAAGCCCCGAGGCTGCAGGACGGCTGAGGCCAACAAAGTTCCCTGCACCCATCCAACAAGGGACACGTCTGTGCCCAGGGCCTCTCCGAGCTGCATCCCAGCCTCTCAGCTCGCTAGCGAGGACACAAGTGCAGGTAAAGTGATGCTCGGTCTCTCGTTAGCATGAATTGGGTATCAAGCACACGAAGATGCCATCACCACTTGGGACAAGCCCACCCTTGGAGCTCTCAGCTCGAGGCTCTGAGCCCCCGTGCACCACCAGGACACCCCAGCAAAGCTCCAGATCAACACGGGTGCACGGAGCGGTGCAGCCGGTGCTTCCTCGCTCAGAAGGTGACAGCCCTGGCAAAGGGACCGGGCTCCGAGGCTCAGCACCGCTGCCCCGCACGGCCTCCAGGACCCCGTGCAAGCGGCAACAGCAGAGCAGGACACGGCTCTGCCCCTGCAGCCCTGGGGAGAGCCCGGACACGGAGCTTTAAGGAAGGGGAGGAGAAAGGCAGAGCGGGGAGAACGAGGCACAAACCCGACCCGGCAGCGCAGCCCCGCTCCGAGCGG